GTGCGCACTTTCGATTGCGTTGTCAGGGTATTGCAAGGGTGGAGGTTTCTGTGTTTATGGGTGAAAGCCAAGGCTTTTGCGGAACTGTACTCTGGAATGATGGCCAACGTGTTCATTCGCACACTGGAAGGACATGTTTCTGCATGTTGTGTTGACATCTTTCCGCTGCGGTGATTGGCTTTGACTCTCACTGCCTCCGCCACCGCTGCTGCTTCCTGTTTGAAGCAAGAATCAAAACTGTTCCATGCAAGCAGCCTGTCACTTTCAGCAGCCGCGTGTTCGGAGCATTAGTGGGCAATTGCGTGTTTGGTGGAGCTCTCTAGTGGCCGGACCTCATAGAGGGAAAACACCAGCAAGCTTTAGATTTGTTGTTGTCTCATAGTGAAGTGTTGTGTCTGAGATATTATGCTGTTTAGGTTGTTTGAAGTCATGGTTTGAGCGATTTTGCCTAGCCTGGTAGACGGTGTGTTTACATGCTTGTAGTTAAAATGTAATTTGTGTTCTAGTGAGGCACACCGCAGTGAGTTACAGTTCTTTATTCAGTCCACGTGGCGGTTTTACTCATTTGTATACCATCCTTTGCATCTTGCCAATTTTTTCACCCCTTTCTTCCTCTTCCTTAAACTCCCCCCACATCCCCCGTGTTCTGTACATTGTGTCCTGAATGCATAACTAAGCTCGTGGAAACAGGGCGCCTGCATGATTGGCTGTGACAGGCCGCTTCACATGAGAACAAGCAGCGCTGGTCATGGTGCGTGCAAGTATTGTGCAAAGCTGAACTGTATCTCCGTGTAGTTGGCAAGATTATTCATCAGCACAGAGTGCCAGAGAGGAATTGCTGCATACTGTACAGAAGGCATAGTGCGGGCCAAATGGCCATGTGGGGGAATGAGGGCTTCAGGCAGGAGTTGGAGACCTTTGTCCCAGTAAAGTTCTAGCATGACCTGATATTTGGTGTCCCCCGCCTGTGTGCCAGCGGTGGTGGAAACAACAGTGGCCGATTTTCTTATTTTTCAGACAGCGGGAGACACAGTTATGGATCTCACGTGTCCCACGAGACCATTAAAGTTTATGTGTCTGTGTATTAGTTTAATTTCCAGTAACTGATTCAGCAGGAAGGATGCCTGCTAGTTCTTTGGCTTATTTCTTACTTCTCTTTCTTTGTTTTTCTTCCTTCATCTTGTCCTCATCTCCTTCTCCATCCCCCCCATTTCCCTCTTTTGTTCCTCTAGATTCTCCATTTTGTAACTCCCCTTTCCTTGATTTCAAAAGCATTTTCTATCCAAGTTGTTGCGATGGTAAGTCTCCCACTAACATCACTGTCAGTGCTGACTGGCCTTTTCTGCGAGTGAGATGCCAGAGTGAAAGAAAGGAAAGTCTGTCTATCTGACTTTTACCGCTGCATGGCAACATGCTTGAGTGATCGGGAACATTGTGGCAAAGGGTGGCACGCCTGCGCACACGCACGCACACACGACCTTTAGTGAAATGGCACACCGGCGTATTTTTTTTGTTTCATTAGTCCAGTTAATCCTCAGCCATCAGCGAGCAGTTGATTTAAAGGATTAATTTCAAATGCCGTGAAGCCTTACTGGCCGGCTACACTGCACTAAGCTTGATAATAGGCCTCAAAGGAAGACCTTCAGTCTGACTGAGGGTTTGTTTGCTGTGAGAGAGCTCTAACAAGCGAGAGCCCTGCTACTCGATGAACTGCACGTACCTGGAAGTGAAGACGGACCCCCCGGGACTCCCGAGCTGGAATTTGAGCTAAATCATTTCTCATACACCTTAACCCACCCCAGCTAAGAAAAATATGCATGTGCGGTGTTGGACTGGGCGTGCATATTTTCCTGGTTGCATACTGACACCTTGAATGTTTACACTGACAGTTGGTTTCCTTCAGCGCTTGTTTTTACTCCCTTTTATCTGTTTTCTCGGTGTAACGTCTCCCCCGCATGTTTTTCATCACCCGACACCTGATTTTATGGGTGTCTCCTGTTCCATGAAATCTACATCAGAGTTCCTGCTGACTTTTATGTTTTGAGACATTTCGTAGAGAGCTTCTAGTTTAACTTTTAAACAATCAGATCATCCTCGGTCTGCTCTGTCGCTCTCTCTAACGCACACATGCTCGAACAGATGCGCCGTTCCCCTGTCGACGTGCCGAGTGGAAACTAAAACACAAGCTCATCACTGTACCTCTCATCAGGGGTCACGCCCTGACATTATCCCACAGAGTGCCGGGCTTTATTAATAGCCCGGCGATTGTCAGGGGTATCTGCACGGCTATTTTCACCAAGCATAATTATTGCCAGAGCGGAGACTCTGTAACCAAGGGATGAATAAAAAGAGAGAGAGAGGCAGGGTGGGTGTGTCTTACCCACAGTTTCAGAGCAACATCTGTGACTGCTGAGCCCCAGAGGAAATTCTTTTTATTTATTTTTTTCCCACAGAAGCACATCCAGAACCTTCCACAGAGCCAGAGAGGCTCCGAGATGATGTTAGCAGGGAGAGAAGTCGCTGTCTGGCGTCTTCAGGATGAGAACCGGGGCTGATTTTAGAAAACGAGCCGTGCATGCTGTTTGACTTTCCCAGGACCCTTTCACATTTTGACCTCCTATATTTGCTCTTTGACTTCACAAAATATACATATATAACCCAACAGGAAAATATGTGAAATGTGACATTCGGTAGCGTGCTAGCCACCAAAGAGCAGCTGAATGTGTTCTGATAACAGTGCCCATGAACTCACATCGGATGTTTTAGTGCTTTTATATATTATCTTGCACAACATCACACCTGTAAAGTCTTTTTTTGGCAGTATTTTTCTCCAGTTAAATGTCTTCTTGATTTTTAAAGTAGAGATAAGTTGATGGCGGTACCTGTTTTGGTTGGCTTTTCTCAATGCGGCTGGTTTTCCAGCATCATATTGTCCCAACGTTAAGGACTTTCCTTGCATGAATGTGCCGATGTGCTGACTAATCTGTTGTTTTTTCACATTCTCTTATGTGTTCTGTGTGCAAAATTATGAAAGTGTGATGAAAATCTTTACATTTTTGTTTTTGTGTCACTCAGAACCAACCCCGGCGTACTCGCTGCAGAGGGAGAGCATGGACCGCGAGGAGGCCAGGCTGTCCCCTCACTGTGGGGGGCGTCTGATCCGCCAGCTCCTGGAGGAGTCCAGCGACCCGATGGTCTCCCCTCGGTTTTACGCCTACGGACACTCCCAGCAGTACCTGGATGACACGGAAGTGCCTCCATCGCCACCTAACGCTCACTCGTTCATCAGGTAAGCTGACGTGTGCTTTTGCAGAGCTGGAAGGAAGGAACTGGGAGCTGTAACAGCATCATTTATCTCTACAGTCGCAGGCGGAGTTCATCGCTTGGCTCATGTGATGATGAAAGAGAGGAGCTGACCTCCGCCCAGCTCACAAAGAGGATTCATATACTGAAGAAAAAGATCCACAGGTTTGAGGAGAAGTATGAAGAGGAGCGAAAATACAGGGTAGGTAGTAACGACCGGTTCATTCGTCATTGTTAATAAAGCCCCGCGCCTTAAAGTCAGACTGTAATGATGTTTCTGTGAAACATAAACACGAATATTGACTGTCAGAGGTGCATCATTACACCAAGTAGGGCTCTGCCTTGTTGTTTAGCAAGGCAGAGCCCTACTTCAGATTTACACTGTTATCCTCATGTGAACAGTAATTGTAGGTATTTTATTTTGAAAGAGCAGCTGATCATCTGTTTTGTTGTTGTTTTTTTCTTCTTTTCCTCCACGCAGCCCTCCCACAGTGACAAAGCTGCAAACCCAGAAGTGCTGCGGTGGATGAATGAACTGGCTAGGCTTCGCAAAGAGCTAAAAGGTAACACACACGCGCACACACACACACACGCACACAGTCTGACAGTTAATTTGATCTAGTTTTAGTCATGATTCAGGCATCTAACTTGCCTCTGATTGGATCCCTTCCAAACTCGTCCCGCCTTTCTACACAACTTACTGAAAAGATCTGGTTCTTGTCTTCTTCACCAGAACACAAGCTGATGAAGTCTGAGGAGGACCTGACGCCTCAGCCCCGCCAGCGCAGCAACACGCTGCCCAAAAGCTTCGGCTCGCAGCTGGAGAAGAAACCTCAGCAGGAGAAGGCGTCGAAGCCGCCAGTGGAAAGCACCCTGGAAGGAATTCAGAAGAAGCTGCAGGAGAAGAGGGACGAGGTGAACCGCCCCGAGGACATCAAGGTAAATCCGCGGCTATGTCGCACGCTCACAAAGACGATGGAATAAAACATTAAAAGCCAAAAGACTTTACATGTTTAAAGCATAAATTGTAAAGCAGACTGCACACTCTGAATTTATTATCACACAGAAACAAATAAGTTTTGGTGCGAGCAACATGGACTGAACTCTTGTCACTTTTAAAAGGCAAGTGACTCACTTCCTGTCTCCTGCTAACAGGATATGACACGGGAGCAGATTGCCGCAGAGAAAGTCGCCCTGCAGAAAGCTCTTCTCTACTACGAGAGTATCCACGGCCGACCGGTAAGCCTCCCTCCACCCTCCCGTGTCGAGTAAACGAGCACAGATTGTGACGAGCGAGATGGACGATGTGTTTGTTTTATTTTAGTCATTTTAAATGCAAAAATTTGCCCAGTTTTGCAAATAAAGCTGAACCCATACCAGTTTGTCTGGACCAAATCCAGATGCCGTAATTTTTATTCCTATCAGTACAGTTACATATCACGCCCTGCAGAGATCTTATAGTGAAGAAAAATGGTTTTGCTGTAATTTTGTTTTATGTTAGCTAGTAGCTAGTTAGCATGCAGGTAGAGAGGATGACAGAAATTTGGTAAAACTGTGCTAAAAGTGTATCTTTGTTCTCCCCACCTGGAGCAGATGACGAAGAGCGAGAGGCAAATCATGAAGCCGGTGTACGACAGATATCGCCTGGTGAAGCAGATCCTGTGTAGAGCCTCCACCATTCCTGTCATAGTAAGTATCACATCCTGCCGGGTTTAAAGCCACACTCTCAAAACATGCACAGACACTTAATCCCAGCTCGTGCCGGCTTTAGCACCTGCTGCTGGGAATGGACAGCAGCCATGAAGCAGCTTTCAGAGCGCTCGGAAAGCAAGGTCAGAGGTTACAGACTGAGGTCACAGGAAGTGACAGCAGAGTGTTGAAGAGGCTCAGGAAGTGAAAAACAACACAGCCAAGTTAAATAAACGGAAAATAAACACAACCAGTTCTTAAAATGTATTTTTAAATATTTATATTTCAGAAATGTAGGAAAATAAATCTGCTTATGGACTAAGTGTAAAGCTCCCAGTAAAGTTATTTACTGAACATCTTTATTATGTAAGACATGATCTGCATTATGTGCATTATATAATGCACTGCATCTAATCCGCACCACGCAGGCTGAGCCTGCTGCCATATTGTTCCTGACATGGAGACGCAGAGGAGCAGACAGAGGAGCTCAAACAAAAAAGCCGTTAAATGTGCTTAAACCTGACAGAAAAGTGTGAAGTACTGTAAAAAAAAAAAAAAAGAAAGGTCAGAGTTAGCGTCTCAGCGTGGTTAACTCCTCCTTCTCGACCGTCACCACAGGGCTCTCCCTCCAGCAAGCGCAGAGGTCCCCTCCTACAGCCCATTATCGAGGGTGAAACCGCACTCTTCTTCGATGATATCAAGGTGAAGAGCCATTGCTGCTGCTTAATAATCAGTGAACCGGCTCCCTCTTCCTCACCTGCTAAACTCCCACCCCTCCTCCCCCTTTATATTTACTACCATTTGCCCTCTAATGAGCCTGATTGCTGCCTGTTGATTGGGCAGTTGCCTGTTTCCTGCTGCGGAAACGGGCAACTGTAGAAGTGTTGAATCAGTAGTTGCTGATCTATGAATCACTCTGTGATTGATGTAATGATGTAAGTGGATATTAAATGGGTTAAAGCTTGTTGTGATTTAAGTGCCTAAAACAAGGCTGGAATACTGGTTTATTTTTCCTAAACAGCAAATATGTGCATACAGTATATTAAAAATGTATCATTGTTATCATTATTTTTCCAGCACTGTTTGCAGGCACTCTGTGGACACTTTTTTTTTTAATTTTCTGTATTAATTGAACAGTTTTAGTTGAATAAAGGTGGCCTGATTAACTCCATTCATAAAAACGAATGATTCCAAATGACGACCATCGCGGTGATTTCTAACCTCTGTCCACTAACACTGCACGATCCTCACGCCCTGCAGTATTTGAGCCCAGGAGGCCGCCCGCTGCAGCAGCGCTCACTGCACGATGAGACCCTCTGCCCCCTCCCCTCCCTTGCAGCCCGTTGAATCTAAAGCCTCCCTCACTCTCTTTGTAGGAGGAAGAGGACGGCTCGGAGGACGACGGAGACTCCAAGACCCAGTTCACCGTGACCGTGCGACCTGACATCGGCGTGTTCAGCTTCCTGGAGCATGCGGATGAGGAAGTGGATGGTTTCATTTCACCCGTGGATGAACTTTCCCCGTCCAAGAACACGATGGACACGAGGCTGTCCAACCTGCACTCAGCTACTATGTAAGTACTCGCAAAACGCTGGTTTTACTGTCAGTTTGTGACTGATTTGGGTCGGTTTGAGAGGATTAATCCTGATAAATCAGCAAAAATTGCAGATCTATCACTGTCTACATACACAGAAATCCAACCAGAGCACAAATTTAGAAATTCCTCTAAACAGAGTTGCCCAGTAACCTTGTCTTTATATATAACCAGGATACAACCATCTGGCAACGAATTAAATCAAGTCCGCTGTTGCAAAGAAACATTACACTCATGAGCGCACACCCATTCAAATTAATAGCAAAGTGTTTACCAGCCAGCGGTTGTTTACAAACCTTCGCCATTGTGCTGCAGAGCAGTTGCAGTCAGTCCAAGTCAGACTTAATTTGTTTGGAGACAGGTTGCCTCCCACCTGTGTGACCTGTCTTAATACAAAAAACAAAAACCGAGCCAAAGTTGTTGATTTTTTTTTTTTTTTTTTTTTTGGGGGGGGGGGTTGTAAATGCTGGAAGTCTGTGTATATTTTAATGTGAGACATTTAAAAAACATTTCTCCACATCCCACAGGCAGGAACTTGTAGAGCAGCTCCAAGAGACGAGAGAGGAGAAGAAGAGAATTCGCAAGAACTTGAAAGAGTTCGAGGACCAGTTTTTTAGACAAAACGGAAGGTAAGAAAAAAAGAGTTTGTCAATGTCAAATATTTGGAACTGCATAATAAGAAACCTCGACACGAAGGTTTTTTTCTCGCAGCGTCGTAACGTTTGCCGCCTTGTTCCTGCAGGAACGTGCAGAAGGAGGACCGCTCCCCATTGGCTGTGGAGTACAACGAATACAAGCACGTCAAAGCCAAACTGCGGCTGCTCGAAGTGCTCATCAGCAAAAGAGACTCAACTAAATTCATCTGAATAAAACAAAGACTCAATAAGAGGACTGGTGCTGTGTCTCCAGTGTCACAGTCAACACATCTCACCTTGCTAGAAACAGTCGTGTTTTCCTCGCTGTTGGATGCTGTTGACGTGCTCCGTCGAGCTCGGCGGGGTTTCCCTCCGTCAAACTGCTGCGCCTGGAAAAACATTGTCGTCGCCTCACCTCGAGGAGGGGACGTCACTCCAGACGAAGCAGCCAACGCACAAACTAAACTGAATCACACTTGTATTGCTGATAATTTATTTTGAATGTTTGTCTCATGCAAAGCCGTAGAAGTCTTAAAAAAAACCCAAAAAAACCCCAAAACACTTGATAATTCGGTCATTAGCTATAAAATTGTCGCTGCTTTTTATGGATCGCGTGTATTTTTCTAAAGGAGATGTTACTCGATCATGCTGACAGTACCGAAGTTTCACTTGTGACCACAGCATTAAATCCTCTTCCAAGTTTTATCGTTTGAAAGAAGTGGTTTCCTCTTTCACTGGGGCCCAAAGACAGCAGCTCAGAGCGCACACAGTGAGCCAAAATCTTTCATCTCCTGGAAATCACCGTTTCAAGATGACCACTGACACTTGCTGCGTTTTTGTACGCCTTAACCTGCTTTCCCCTACATTTACTTGATGTTAAATAAGCTATCGTCCCCTTTAAATCACTGCTGTGTTTGCTCACACCGATTAACACTGACAAGGCCAGTTCTGAGGTGGGCGTGGTCGACGAAGCCTCGTCCTCTGGTCCTCGCTGTAGTTTGTTTGTTTGTAAATATGGATCATCGTATATGTTTACATTTCTGTGAGCGAGTACTTTATCCCTTTTTTTTCTCTCCAATTTTCTGGATGGTAATCAGTGTGAATTTTGTTTTCACTGAATGTAAACACTGGCCGGGCTTAATGAACTGAGTGTGTACATTTTAGTACATAAATTGTATTTTGTATATAATGTGAATGAAATCATATTTTTACTGAAGGTTTTTTGGCCTCTGTGTTTTTCCTTTGTGAGGTTGCGAATGTTCACTCATCCAGTCGAAGGACTTTACAGACAGATCTGAGATCAGTCGGTTTATTTATATAGCAGCAAATCACAACATCAGCTGCCTCGAGGCGCTTTATACAGGAAGGTAAGGACCTCCCTAGAGCACTGCGCAATGGCGGGAAGGAAAGTAATAAAAGGAAATAAAACAGGGATTAAAAGCGTGTATAAAAAAAAAACTACAGCACCAAATTAAATAAATAAAATTGTTTAAATATGAATGTACACATAAAAGATTATATGTGGTATATTACACACTGAACCCATCATGGTTTTCAGTTCAACTTGATTTATTGGTATAAAATTGACAAAAAGCTTTATACCATGTAAGGATTTAAAATATGTCATATGTGACCTTTGACCTCTCCTTCAGGGTCAGTCAGTTGATCTCAAATGTTAATCTCAAACATCTCGGCTGATGAAGCATGTTCACTGAATCTGAACGTTTGGAAGACTGGGAGTGAACTGCTTTCAAAAACTTAACCTAAAATCTCACCTCTGATATATGCCCCTCATAAAATATCAATTAAAAATAAACTATACTGAAACAAGAACCCTAACCTTAACAGCAGGTGCTCAGATAACAACTAAAAAACAACTCTATGAATCAGAGGCATCACATCTGGTCCATCTGGTCATAGGACATGCCGTTCATGAATTCAAGTAATTTAATGAGGAAGCTCAAATGCAATCACAGGCCACACAGAAGTCTTGCTTTTATACTGTATTTTATTGAAAACCTTGGCTGGAACAGAGAGCTTTGAGTAAATTTCAGACAAATAATGATTTAAAAAAAAAATAACTTATTCTCTAGCACATTTAAAGGTGCAAAAAAGTCAAGGGCTGCACAAACCTTTGCATAGGACTAAACTCTGCAGGAGCCTTAATCAGACAAATATTGATTGAATATGTGGAGTGTGTGTGTGTTTGCGTGTGCGTGCGTGTGTGTGTGTGTGTGTGTGTGTGTACATGCAGTATAGAACTAAGCAATAAGATGAACTGCCAGCATTTGAGACCTTTATATGTTTGGCCCAGAGCTGTGAGTACAGAAGTGGGCTGCTTCAGGTTGTTATTGCTGAGAGGACGTCTTAGTCAGAACACATAGAGTCATTTTACTGCCCAAAGTCACATTAACACCACTGTCGTGTATGAAATGTATATAAAATATATATGTATATGTATATATATATATATATATATGCGAGACCATTCCACGCACGTCACGCTAATACACAACCTAATTAAATGTTATCTTGTACTGCGAGGTGTCACTGCAGGAATATTTATACATCATCAGGGCGACCTTTGGAATAATATGATGGGTACAGTTTATCATCAAATGGCTATTATATGCAGACTGTTTACCAAGTCATCTGCCCACACTCTTAAAATATTTATCTCCACTTGGAGACCAGACTAATAACAATTATTACCTCTAATGTTTGTATATTTAGGTTTATGTGACATTTTGGGACATGTTTTTATTTGCTTCTTAGCAGATCGGTTCAAATGTCATTACAGAGGAATCGGTTTGCTTGGCCTAGCAAAAACACGGCTAGTTTGGCTCCGTCACACGGTGAATAAATCCAACTGAGAGCCGCTCTGATGATCAAAAATGACCAAAGTTTGTTTAACCCTCTGAGGTCTAAGTCATCATTTTATAGAAGCCACGAAAGTGCTTGTTAGGGGAAAAAAAGAAGCGTGAATAAGGCTGGGAGAAAAGTTTCATAAACACAAAAATGACAGTTTTTGTCATCCACACTTACAGGGGATTTATATTTGTAAATCTGCAACCCTGCAGCCTACACCGTAACTACACGCCACATGGACACAGTCTACGATGGCTGTGATTGGACAGTTTGAGATCGTTGTGTCCTCCTGAATATTTCCATCTACTGTGTGTACTGAAAGAGACTATATGGAATTGAAGAGAGAAACCACCGACGACAGGACAAACTCCTGGTTTGTTGAGATACCGCTGCGTTGGCCAAGAAGGACTTTGACTGTATTCAGATACTCGTCTGTGTCAGGGACCACACTATCAGAATATGTATCTAAAAATCTGTTTCAAAATACTTCACGAAAGCGATTAAAATTAGCACTAATCAAGGAGACTGTTCTGCATCCACGCCACGCAAACATGGAGTGTGTATCGTTGGAAACCGGAGTGGTTAAATGAGAGGTGCTCTCTTTTTCTGGGTCTTTCACCTGTTGCTCGCACAGACTGTAGTAAAATATGGATTCTTTAGAATGGCCATCAGGGGGCGACTCTTGTGGAGAACACGCCCTGGGCTCCCTGTCTCTGTAACCTCAGTAGACATTTTTCTGAGGAGTTTATGGGCTCAGTCGTTAGTTTTAGCTCACACTGAATGAAACAGGAAGTTCATTTTGTAAATGATTTTATAGTCACAAAGGAGGATTAGCCAGGATAAGCTGACTGTCCCTCGGTTTCCTCGCTCATCACGTCCAGTTTCAGGCAAAAATGATTAGCCAGGGTCTTCACTGTCCATGGGTGGTGTTATCTTGACTAGCTCCACCTTTAATACTGTGGTTATGTTGTTGCTAGGCACTGTCATCGAGGGCAAAGGTATGATGGCAAGGTCACATTTTAGATATTATAAGCAAACCTGGAAGCACTAAAAAAACAACAACAAAAAAACTGCAATTCCTGTAGTGGCCACTGGAGGCCGAGGCTAAGTTAATCCCCACTGACTGCCATGGTAAGACACCCAACTTTATACAATTACAAAGCAAAGTGTATTTAAAGCCTGGTATCTACAGTTCCTCATTCATAAAAACCACATAGGGGCGCAGACTTGTTCTATAACTCATCACGGCTAATGCCAAACTCAACATCTTAGCGTATTAGTCCAAATACAGTCAACTCATGGGGTCTTGTTTGATTGCGACCTCGCAGATGATGCGGCCCCTTTCAGCTAGAAAATCTATAACTAAACAGCCTGTAAGCGCGACATCTACATGCTTGTGACAACAGGAAGTGCGATCTTTTTGTGTCCATCTGAAGGAGCCAAACATGTATTTGCTACCACTTCCAGTCTGAGCGATGCTAACTGATGCTTCATATTCAGCTGACATGCTTTTCTTGCAAGAAAGCAAATAATCACATTTCCAAAAACGTCACTGCTAAATGACAATCTGGTTTTTGCTTTCACTCTGTAACATGCACAGACATCCACAAAAAAAAAGATCAAAAAAATAAATAAATAAACTTTTGTTTCTGTACAGAAGGTTTCGCTGTAGAAAGGCAACACTGTTGAATGCAGGTTCAAGAACAAAGTCAGCTGCTCTGTGATCCACAGCTAAAACAGAACGAGGGATTGCAAACGATGTTCAGCATGCTTCGCTCCCTGCCTGACTCGCTTGTCCTCTTTCAGAATCAGGCATAGAGGACATGCTGGTGGCAGATTTAAAAGGATCAGCGGGACTAACACTCCTCCCAACCTCACAGTGAAGATTATATTCAAAGTGCTATTTACATACACGTATATATGTATGTGTGTGTGTGTGTGTGTGTGTGTGTGTGTGTTAATTTTGTCAAAAAATAACCACTCTATTTAATAAATTAAAAGTAACAAAAAGCAATATATTGTCTCAAGGTAATAACATGATTCTTTAATGATTAAAAATAGAATTTAAGGAATATAAAATACACAGCTTTGCAAACAAAACTAAGCAAAAAGAAATTAAGAGTTTCTCAACCTTCTCTGGTCCTGGTTTTTAGGTCCCGAAGTTTTCATAATCCAGGGTCGTTCTGCACATTTTAGTCCATTTAGTGCTTTTTTGGTTAATTTCCATGTTGGCTGTTATCTATCAGTCATTTGATTCCCCTCTAAATGGTCCTGGAAGGCTGAGGAACTTTGCCCAAAGCAAAAAAGCAATAACACTCTGCATTTACATACATAGACCTTTAAGATTCAAGATGCTTAACGATCTTGTTAGACCATATATAAACAGAGTGACCCTCCCGTGTCCAAAAATTGCCCACTCACACTCTTGACACTCACGTGGGGGTGTATTGCTGTTAAAGTGCGTTAAGTCTCCCCTGGGACTCCCCTCAGACCAGGCTGAAGCCCTCGTACTGCTCCACGGCCTGAGTGAGGCGGCGGCGCAGGATCTCTTTGGTCTGGTAGCGGGGCATGTCCAGCAGGTTGTAGCAGGTGTGGGCCACGGGCAGGTAGTGCTCCTCTGCTGTGGTAGACTGGATGATGATGCGCAGGCTCTCCATGCCGTGGATGGGAATGCGGTCGCTACCGGTCAGGAACACTGCAGGCAGAAAGGGGACATACAGAACAGAGGTAAAACAAATTTAGGGAAGCTCTCTGAAACATGTTTGTGCTCTTGTGCAGACACAAGCTTGATGTTTCTGGATGTTATTAATAAATCTGGTCTTTGTCTATCTAGACAATTTTTGACTCGCAGAGAATATTGCTCCGATTTTCATATTTTGGCTAAAAGCCATTCTTGGTTGCAATAAAAACAACATGCATGTTTTTTTACACTGCAAAGACATGCTTGTTTAACAGAGAAACCTGCCCACAGAACTCTTTGGGCTTTAAATACACTTTAAATAAATGTGTAAAATTACAGAACAGAAAAAAAGAAAGAAAAAGAAAAAAAATTGCATTATTCTCATTATTAAGATTGAAAAACCTGAAATTCTGCATTCAGAGACTCATTAAAAGTGGCTGCAGCGAACGACCCATAAGTTCAAATGTTAGGTTTGTGGTTATCTGGCCTGAATGGACCCTTCAGAGTGTCAGTTCTGCCCCCCGGGCCAAATGTTTGACACCTCTGATCTAGGAGCAAGAATCACAGGGTGATTTTAACAGGACATCGTCATGCGCACTGCCCACAACAGCAGCGGGATCACTATGCTCGACATTATTTAATCATATCATTTACTATTACTAAAGAATTCAGCATAACTGAGGTCTTGTAAAGTAAACAGTTGAATCTGAATGTAACACTTTATTCAAAACTCTTGAAATGTGTGATTATTTTCATTAACACTGAAAAGTTCTTGCTTTCGTTAAAGCAGCACAAAGCAGCTCTGCTGTCTTCACGATCTGCTCTCATGACCTGCAAATTATTACACTGCAAAGCGACTGCAGGTAAGAGAATTAAACTGCCACGCAGATCACGTAAGGAAGCAATTAAAGGCTTACACAAGAACTGCTTCTTCTTTTCCAGAGGGAACTCGTGGAAAACCTCCCAGAACAATCTGACTGTTGGATGAGTGGCGGTGTACTCCCCCTTATAAACGGCGTTCTGTAGAAAGAGAGGAGAGATTTGGAGATTAAAAGCCTGTTTTACCATCAGTAAACAATTTGATTTGTGGAAAACATGTTAGTTCCTTATCAGTCAGGAAATAAAGTCCTCAGAGACGTGCAACAATCTGGGTGATTTTTGCAACTACTGGCCTAAAAAAAACAAATCCGTTTCCCAGTTTTTTGACATCTGACAAAACAATCTGCTGTGCAGATGTTGTAATCTGCACAAAAAGAACCTCTGGACACAAGAGATAAAGTCACGGGTAAAATATGTGAAGAACTGTGCTGGCTCATACCGTTTATGATCACATCCAGAGCTGCAAAGTAAGTCAAATGTCACAACAACGGAGTTTCTGAATCATTTATTCGCCTCCATATTAAATGATCCAGAGGTGTGCCTTTTCAACATCTGGCAGGAATAACACGAAACACACGAGAACAAGCCTTTCAGAAAAGCTCAGATTTATCTACAGTTTTCTTCACCAACCAATCTAAATTTTAACTTACCTAATATGATGATTTGTGAATATTTATTTAGAATATTTCTGACAACATAATACACGTTTCAGTATTTTGCAACTAAAGGTACAATATGTAAGATTGGTAAACCACAAACAGCTGAAACATTCAAAAGTAAACTAAATCTATAAATTATTTATTATCATTACACATGTGCAATGAATTTTGATGTAGTCTTATCAGTGCCTTGCGCTGACATTCAAACAGAAAGTGGTGCAAGAGGGATGGATGTTTCAGGACACTCTCAAATGACCGTATGACACTGGAATAGCACACTACAGAAATATCTCCTGAAGTTTAATTTTTAACTTGCTAATACTGCGTCAAACTCAATTTTTTTTTGTTGCTTTAGCACTGCAGAATTTATACTTATTGTTCCATTTTTTCTGTTCACAACAACCACCGTGGTTCGCCGGTATCTGTGTCTTACACCAGTGAAAGAGCCTTCTCTTTCCTGCTTCTTACTAAAGACGTAGACACCTATAATTAATCTTTCAGGTACAATGTAGCACCGCCTGAGTTGATGGTTTGAGGTAATGTTTGAGGGTGTCTCTCACTACTGTTCTAATCTAAGATGAGACACAAAATATGCTAAACATCTATCATTCATGAGGCTGGTATGTAGAGCCGCAGGCTTGGCTGCAGTGGTTATTCTGAGTGAGGCAGTTCCCTGGTTATATAAACACAATGCTAAAAACTACATCATTCTTTCCTGTGGTTGATGACAAGGATTTTAGGGGTTTTTTTAATGCAACATCTGAACAAATCTTTCATATATAAACTAGTGGTCTGCAAACACTTGTGCTGCAGGGGATTCAAGATTTTAATCCAACAATGACAACAACAAAAAAAGAAAAACACACACAGTGGGGAGAGGCTTTGCTGACCCTGAGCTGGAAAGTTGATCAGAGCAGTCGGAGTGCAGATGATTAAACCACACACTGACCTTCTCCATCTCCTCCCAGTTGTAGTTATTATTGCCGACCACCATGGCCATCAGCTCGGAGGGCTGGAACAGAGACAGGATCTCACCACCACACACCTTCAGGAAACCAGCAGAGAAGGCAGAGTACTGCTCCCCCACCGAGTCTGAGAACACGTAGCACAGGTAGGCCTCCACAAACTCCTTCCTGAAACACACACACACACACACACACACACACACACACGCACAAATAGGTTCAGTAAACATGCAGAAAATGAGCACATTTATTCAGATGTCAAAGTGGGACTATAAACACTCTGTTCCTCTCTCATTGTGTCTGAATCCGAGTGTGTTCACATTGTCTGAGCCGTCTGTTCAAAGCTTTTTTTGGTTTGTTTCTTGAAACCTGCTTGGAACTCATCAACGTCCTCTTCATCCAGCCCACTCTAATTTTGTTTACCTCTGTGAGGTCTTAGCGCAGAAGTCGCTTAGGTAGATTAAACCTCTAATCTCTTCATCTGTGCTGGAGCCACCTGTGAGTGCGTCAATATATGTGTAAATACTAAAACAGATTTGTTTTCACTGTGCCAAGCTAAACTACAGAAGCAGGACACGAAATGCTGAATAAATCCCCTGAAAGACTTATATTTAAACAGAGTTCCTACCATTGATCTATTTTAAGACCTCTACAGCGTGGTTTAGATGTTGAAATGAATGCTTAAAAGTAAAATTACTGTACTGAAGGAGAGGAATGTGCAGCTTCAACATTATTTTTAAATTTGGGAAACCAATGGAAAGCTTTAGTTTGGGCTGAGCAACTACTGCACTAAAGTCAGTGATAGACATCCATGCATTTATCAAACATGTCAAAGACAAAAGGGAGAAGAAAGCAGGACATATTTGTCACTTTCCATCACTAGTCAAAGTCAGACTTAAGTCTGATTGAGATGCTTTGTCGTGTCCTTTGAACAGGACGTTCAGAAACCCTCCAGTGTGGCTGAATTAAAACAGTTCTGCAAAGAGGAGTGGGACAAAATCTGTCCACAGTGATGTGAAACACCCACTGCCAGTAATTACAAACACTTGATTGCACAAGCATTAATAACTATTAACTGGTAAAACAACTAGTTATTGGTTTTAGGGAGCAATTAGGTTTTAAGAACTTTTTTCCCCATAATAAATACATTTTATATTCACTCAGGCTATCTTTGTCTAAGACATGTACTCAGCATCTTAATAGATTCAAAATAACAGATTAAAAATGTGAATCAGAAGAAACCGGTTACTTTAACTCAAACGTTCAGGAAAGTGCAATCCTCGAGCAATCACTCCAAGAAAGAAGAAAAAGAGAGAAACCAGATTTTTAAAACCTTTTTCCCTGATCACACACACAGAAAGTAATGATGTCGTTTCATTTAGAAAGCAAAGACTCTGTGTAGCAGCTGCTGCCACAAACCCCCGTTCAAACAGGGAAGGTACCAACAGAAGGACCAACATGCTCCTGAAATTTGAGAGAAATACACAAGCAGGTCTTCTCATATAGGAAACCAGCGCACAGACACGCACACACACAACTGCTTCACGTCAACAAGCTAATAAATACAGGCTTCAGACCAATGCTACAGTCTTCCCAGCCAAGCTAGTTACACCCACAGAGGTTACAAAGCCCTGCAAACACCAAACTTGTCTTACACAACACAACACAAAAACAAAGGCAGGATTCATCAGTCTGATAAAGTAACCTTCAATATCAAAATAAAACGTGCGGTATGAGATGCTGCTTTAACACCACAATCTAATATTCCTCTTGTTATAGTTCCATATCTGAGTGTTGAAGGGATTTTGGAGAAATAATTTGTGTTACTGCTGCTCTCGCCATCTGTTCAGCACCAGCAGCCAGACATGTTGACACCGCCCGCCCCCAAACGCTCTCTCTCTGAGGACTCCTTCACATAACGCTGTAATCAGTGCCACTGGCACAAGGACAGCAGCTAGAAATGAGACGCAATAGCACGGTGTGAGTGAATCTAAAAAACTGTGTCTGTGTGTGCAGCACAGATCGTGGCCTTCAGCTCCAACAATGGGACACAAGCTGCCCACTCTATGAGCGCATTATAATCTCTGTGCGGGGGGGAAAAAAGTAAAATCTCACAGTTGTTGCTTCTTCCTTCAGAGAGGACAGAGTGTATAGCATTGAAAAAATGGAAACGTTCATAAAATTAAATCTAATCTGGTAAATGGGCTGGTTCTTATATAGAGCTTTTCTACTCTGAGAACTCAAAGAGCTTTTTATAAAGCTTCACTCATTCACACCAGCACGTTTTTTCTATGCTTTTCCTATCCAGGTGCTTTCTATCCAGCATTGACACACATTCACATTCCCATGGATGCATGAGAAAGCAACTTGGGGTTAGTATCTTGCCCAAGTATATTTAACCGGAGCAGACAGGGATTGAACCACCAACCTTCCGATTAGTAGGTGACCTGCTCTGCCTCCTGAAATACTGACTGAAACGTGCTGAAAAGTCAGCTTAAATTTTCAGTGTGCATTTTTTTGATTTGTCGAGTCACCAAACCTGTTGTTTTTGTCCACAGCGAGGCTCTCTCCTCCGGGAATCAGCTCCTTGACTTCTGTCATCCCGTAGTTCTCCCTGGTGATCTAAGACATGAGCACAACAAACAGACTCACTGTGAAGTTTTTTTACATTGCAAAAGTGCACAAGCCGCACAAGATAATTGCAGCTTTATTTTTTTAACATTTTAAAGCTAAAGAAGTCCTGTGATGCTCCAGTTTTGTTTTGTTTCCAAACACCAAAACCAACTCTCAGCTAAACCCAGACACACACATATTTTCCTCTGCAGTCAAAGACTGTTTTAGGCCCTTCTTCTGTATCACAGACCTTTACAACCAAGGATCCCTTAACATGTGCTGTACTTCATTTTCAGTCAACCCCACATTGTAGAAGCCAGAGGATCAATTCAATTTAATTCTGTCTTATTTATATAGCGCCAAATCAGTCGTCTCAAGGCTCTTCATATTGTAAGGTAAAGACCCTAGTGCCTGTGTGGCACATAGATTAAAATGTATGTCCATCAATTACAGAGACTCCTGAGAGAGACTCGTTATGTATATAAAGCACACGTGTCCACAATATCAATTTCTTCCATTCTAACCTCTCCATCACCACCATGAGGGAGACCAACGAGCCATCAAAGGACATCAGGGACAAGATTGTAGACCTGCACAAGGCTGGAATGGGCCACAAGACCATTAGCAAGAAGCTTGGAGAGAAGGTGACAATGCTGGTGTGATTATTTGGAAATTCAAGAAATATAAACTGATCACCATGAAAAGCCTGCCCTATGGGATGAGGGTGATGCATCACCCCAAAACTGACAGACAGGACCAAGAACACCATTGGTAATATGCTACGTTGTAATGGACTGAAAATCTTTCACCACCTATGAAGTGTTCATGATGGCACATGTAAAGGCCAGTCTTAAGTTTGCCAATGAGCATCTAAACGATTCAGAGAAGGCTTGGGAGAAAATGCCACGGTTAGACGAAACCAAAAATCTGACTCTTTAACATCAACTTGACTTGAAATACGAGATTCTTTGAGTATGAACACCATCCACATAGTCAAGCAGGGAGGTAAAACCATTATGCTTTGGGGCTGTTTTTCTGCTAAGGACAGGACAACTTCAACACCACGAGGGGCCACTGTGGCCATGTAACATAAACTATAGCCTCTGTCCTCAGCCAGAACACTGAAGATGGGTCATGGATGTGTCTTCCAGCACAACAATGACCCAAAATATACCACCAAGGCGACAAAAGAGGCTAAAGAAAAAGCACATTAAGGCCAGCCTCCAGACCTCAGTTGTGCAGAAAATCACGTAAAAAAACTACAAGAAACATCTTACCGCTCTGCTCACCAACAAGCAGTACCTCCACCAGGTACTGAGTCATGTTTTGCTTGGGGTTCACTCAGTGACATGCAAATCAATTAATAACTTTTATGTAACGTGTTGTTTCTGGATCAAAGTAATAAATTTAACAGGGGATGAAATAATTATTTCCTGCACTGCATCAGTGTTCAGGTCAACTCATAAAACATCAGCTAAGTTAGCAACAACAATGCTAAATTGGCCATAGGTGTGATAATGAGTGCGAGTGGTTTGCTGTCACTCTTTGTTATCCCCGCAATTCACTGGTGACCTGCCCAGGGTCTAACCTCTCCTTCCACCCTATGACAGCTGGGATACCGACAGCCCACATTAATGGACAGATTAAGTAAGAACGAACCGTCGTGAGTCATTCTGTAACGTAGAACTTCAAGGAACATATTAACAATAAACAAAATAAAGAATAACACCAGCCTTTTTCACACACGTGGCATAAAAATCAACAAATAAAAAGTTACACTTACAGCAAAGTTGAGAAGAAACGTCTCCTCCACGTCACTTCCTTCATAGTCTAAAAGCTGTTGTAAACTCCTGGAGAAAAAGAAATCAACTCATAAAAACCAACACAGAAAACTCAAACTGTCATTTGATTAACAGACAGAAGCAAAACAAGGAAAGTTAAAACTGTATTATGGTGTTACACACAGTGTTCTAGTCACTGCTTAGAGCTGTAGTAATACAGAACTTGTCAGTAACACCTGCAGCTCTTTCGTGTTATACTTGTATTTAACTCTCAACTCTATCCACGTTTGACCTTTACATTGAAAAACCAGGGATCAGCCGTGCTGCTCCAGCAGCTCCGTAGATGAAACAAATCGTGAACACAGGCTCTGTCAGATTAGAGGTGAATTATTAATAATAGGAAATGACTCACAGGGAGTGTTGTGTTAGTTTTCCTGAAAAGAAAATGCTAGATGTTATAACCACCAATAACAGGAAGGACAAATGGGCTGCCAACGGAAATGCTAATTAGCCAAAGGGGATATATTATTATTGTTTTGCAATTTGACCCGAGTTACTCGGCTGAGGTCACAGTACAAAGAAAATATCAAACAATGTTTATTCAGAAAGCAGAGCTGGTGTCTGCTTCTTATCTGTGTGTTGTCTCCACTGTGCTGCCTTTAGCCTGTTGAAGCTGAACGGCTCAAAAAGACAGAGAAAATAATAAGAACAAACATTTTAAGATGTAGTGTCCTTTAAGATGGTGTTGTCTCGAGAGCAACAGGCTGCTGCAGCCCGTACGTATCGGTAATCACATTCAATGGATAATCGCAAAATCAATAGTTGACTGGAGACAATTAGGCTGAACGGAAATGCTGACCGTTCCTGCTCTAAATTCAATGAAGTGGCAAACAATCTCACTGCTACACTGAAAAGCAAAAACACTGGTTATGTAAACAAGTGGCACACGGATTTGGCATCCGGGTGCAGATTTGATCCTAACCCCGATGAAGGTAAACATCCTTCTAAAGGAGGACTATTTCAAGTCGCTGGCCCAAGGCTGAGATATCATCATCACTTTACTCTGACAGCCCTGGGTGTCCAGACTTTCTTCTCTTCTTGCTAATAGGTTAAAATTAATGGAGTCATAATCTTCTTTTTTTTCCAGGCATTTTTTTTAAATCATTGCACCAATTTATTTCTTTGTTTCTATGGGACAGTAAAGCCCCCAGATTGGGACTTTCTTTATTAGAACAATTTAGACGTTTTATATATTGGTCTTCACATATTCATACATTTATCGACCGGCTTCACTCGCCTGAGTTACTATGGTGTAGACTTGAGATTCAATCTCGCTCATCCTTTTCTTCATCTGCCTCTCTAATCTACTCTCCATCACCTATTAGGGCAAGATTTATTAAACAGAGCAAAACAGCATCTGAGTGCATTCACCAAATAGTGCTAACAGGTGTGGTTAGTTTTACAGGTGATTTAGAAAAATACACAAAAACCCAAAACTGTAAACTTCGTGCTTGATTTAAACATTCTCCTCCTTATATTTTGCACCTTAACTCCCAGAAATACAAATGCTACACAGTCAGTCGCAAAAATCTGTGAGTTCCCTCCTCTTATGCGCAATCTTAGGATTCAGTCTCAGTTTGAAGTCTCATTTTAAGTCTACGATGCAGTTATTGAAAAAAATCCTGTGTTTGCCACTTGCTCTTATTTATGCCTCCTATCTTCTGTGACATAATCGAGGCATTCAAGTTATTTTATTGTCCCATTTATTTCTTTATTTCCAGATTACATTCTGTGCCAGGTTACAACTTACACTATTTAAGATATAGAATCCACTTTCAAGGTCTTATTTATCAAGAACTTATCCCAACATTATGGACCAATGTGCCAGATGTCATGCCTTACCTTGTTTTTCTTTTGCTTCAGACTGCAAAATTTTTTATGGAAGGTTTTTGGATCCCAATAACTAACTGACCACTTTCATTGCAATATTTGGGGGTTCCACTTGTTCCCCAAACATACCTTGCTTGCATGCAAACATCGCTTTTGGTGAGATCTTTCTTCCTATTGTTTGTGTAGGTCCTCAGTCATTCAGGTCGTGGTAGAAGGATCTTGAAAAAGAACTTGACTTAAGTTTTGAAGACCTCTCATCTAAGAGGTCTCTTCAGTTGCATCCTATTCCTCTGGAGGTCCACTAATCCCACAGTTATCTCTCTTTATGCTTTAAGGATGTCATGTCATTTCTTAAAACTTAAAGGCTGTTCTGCTAAGTTTGATCAAAAATTGAATTGTTTCATTCATTATTTTAAGTCTTTACCAACTCAGAGTACAGATCAACCCTTATTTATAAATAAATATATAGATTAAAAATGAATTAAAAATAAATGGTGAGTTGCAATGTGCCATGTTTACCGGGCTTCGGTGGGTGAGAGCTCTTTGAAGTCTTCCAGCGTGGGTGACACCTCGAGCAGCTTCTTGTAGAGAGCCAGGGGGAAGTGGAGGTCCACCACTGTGGCGTTATAGATGGCCAGACCGCAGATGATCCCGATCAGGTGGAACCAGTTCTGCTCTACAAAACACTGGAGATGCACGCAGAAACATTATTTTCATGTTGCCTTTCTTTTAGCACTTCTCTGTGGCTGAAATCTGAGCAGATTCTTTGGTGGCATCGTGTCAGCTGGCTCAACGTAACTCGACAATTTCTCACATCCCACGAGCTGAAAAATGTTATATGGTACACCAGCAGTAAATTCACACTTACAGAACTATACAAATATGAAAAAGGTACCTTTCTTCTTAACTCTAAGGTATCAGAGCTTCGAGGTAAATATGCTGTCATAAGGATAGAATAAAGCCAAAATATGGAGATTAAAGTTGTAATTTAAAGCAAACAACTGCCAAAGCTTCTATTACCTCTACAAAATTGTGTAGATGAGTTAGTGAAATCACACTTAAGAATCAGTTTTAGTAACAAGGAAAATTGTTTGTGTTTGTGTGCTAAAAGGGAATTTTTATGATGAGTATATGGACGCTGAAGAGAAGGGGAAAAAAAAGATAAAACTTGGAAGAGCTAGCCAGATTTGTACAAAATGAGAAAACTGGCAATGGACAGATGTGAGGATGTCAATGGTTACACCCTCGTGCAAGAAAGAGACTGTATGTTGTATCACAAGGCACAAAACCACAAGAAAGCTAATCAAGCTGTTTCACTAACTCATCTACACAAGGCAGTCTGTAGAGGCTATGGCAGCCATGACAGTTGTTTGAATTGAAACAAACAGCTGGTCAGTAGATCACCAGTGGGCTTCGTCCAATGATCGCTAAGTATGTGCCTACAAATACACCAACCATTAACCTACAGAATAGTTGAGATCTTCTGGAACAACATAGTGGACCCTGAAACCAACAACACCACCCCTCGAGCGCAACTCGCCACACCAGATCATCTTCTTCCATCTCACTCTATCCCTGAAATCCTCCTCTGTCACTCCAACCCTCTGCATGTCCTCCTTCACTACATCCATGAATCTTCTCTGTGGTCTTCCTCTTTTCCTCCTCTCTGGCAGCTCCATCTTTAACATCCTTTTTCCAATATTCACTGCCCCTCCTCTGCACATGTCCAAACCATCTCTTGTCTCCACTCAACCTGAGATGTCCCTTTGGTGTACTCATTTCTAATCATGTCCTTCTGTCTCACTCCAAAAGAAAATCTTGACATCTTCTAGATTATCACTATGGCTGCAACTCTGTGTTATAATTATGTGCCAGAAAATGAATCTTGGACTATATAAAATAAATGCTACTCTCATGGAAATACCTCTTACTTTTTTACTTAATAATTTTACAAAGAGTTAGTTTAAAAGGGGGGGGGGGCGATTTCGACCTTAATTTGAATGACAGAGAGGTGACTGACTGAGCAGAGCTAATATTATGTTGTTTCCAATCTCAGTCAGCATGACGGTCAAGGCTGAGGGACGAGCTCCCTTATAGAGGTGAGTGTTTTGTAAACCTTAGTGTTCCCACTGACATACAGCATCTCTGTGTATAACTGCAGAAACAGCAGCTCTTCTTCTTGGAAAAAACAGCAGCAGTCAAACAACTGCCAGTCCACATTCGGGTAATCCATTATAGGCCGACTGCTCTTTAGTCCAAAAAAAAAAAAAAACCCCAGACAAAAGAACGCTGAAAGGCTTCAAACTAAAAGGAAAAGGTCAGTGGATTTATTGAAACACTGACTTCTCTTTTTGAGCAACAGATATGACTCGTCCATCCTGCGCATGTCAAAGAGACATTATCTCCAAGGGGCAAATTAGGCTGGAGCGCACACAGCCCGCACAAGAGGCTTCAAACCTAAAGCAAGGCTGAGTGCAATTTACACACACAGCACGGGAGCAGTATGCTTACTAATTACTTAAATCTTCTTTTTTTTCTGACGTCACTGAGATCTCATAATATCATTATTAGCCTAAACGCTTTACTTCCCAGAAAACAGCTGAGCTAAAAGCCAACAGCACAGGCTGCTTATTGTCAGCAAGTCCAAATATGTTTCAGTCTGCAGAGTCACAGTATTTTCCTTTTTCTTTCAGAGGTAGAAAAAAAAGTGGACCACTGTATGCAGCTTTCAGCTTTGTGACTGAAATGCAGTAACCCCTGTAAAGCATGGATTAGCTGTGCTACACTGTTGTGCATTAGGAATTAACAGATGATTTTAGTTCATATCCAAAGTTACTTAAACAGTTGTGTGTTTCTAAATTATCCATAAACGAAATAAATAAATAAGCTGTCTCTGATCCGTCTCAGATGTTTTAAAACACAGTCTCCGGATTAAGTATCATTGTTCTTCTGGATAACCATCTCAAAAGATGAAGTTTCCTATTTGAAGACATTGCAACTACTCATTCATTAAAACCTGTTCACAGCAGGTGCAGCAGTTGGAAAAGAGCTTCGTGTTTAACTGTCTGCAGCAGTGTGGCTCACCGTAATGTTTCAAGTTAAGGGTAATATGCTAAAATTAGACTTAATTATATTTAAATATACTCGATAAATACTTTAACATACTAATTCCACTGCCTGTTAACTGTCAACCAGGGAAACTCACTTTATCTGAGAACCAGAGCAGGTTGGACTCTTTGTAATGAGTGAACATCCCATACACGGGATCCATCAGCTCCTTCAACAGCAGCAGGAAGAACTCTTTAGTTACGCCGCCTGCGTCTACGGCCTCCTCTCCATCAAAGATCACCTGGAGGGAGGAAGAAGCAAATGAAAAACAAAAACAAATCTTCGCTTTGTCCAAGTTACGCCTCCGGTGAGAGCAGCCTCTCACCTTGAGTGGTTTCTTGAGGTCCACGTCAGAGTACATGGTGAGCTCGCGTAGTGTGTCGCTTACTAAATGGCTCCTGCGCACATGGAGCACCAGGTAAGGGTTCCTAGCGAGGTGGGGTTCCAGTGTGAGCAGCATAAAGACATTGTGTAGGTTTGCACCGCTTACTGCCATCTTGGTAACGGACACAGTTGGAGAAAAATGGATAAAACAATGTTCACATGAGAACGAGAACAATTAAGAAACATTTGCTGACACATAAAGTCTGTCAGCAGCGGGTACCTGCATTTGCAGTTCAGCATCAGTTTGCAGCATGGTTGTCTTGGCTTTTGCGTTCAGTATGAACGGGTAGGCACATAGGTTTACTGCGGGAAAGTCACTCTGCAGGGAAAACAAAATGAATGCTTAATAAACCATCACCATTTAAATGAATCACATTTATCTATTATGCTTAATAACTGAGTCTTTAATTCAACTACCTGTGAAGGGGATGATCCCACTTTCTAAAAATGAGAAAGAAAGAAAGAAAAGTCATCTGATCAAACCTGACACTTGAAAAATAAAAAGACATTTAAAAGTAGAAGCGTAGAGATTTTTAACTTCCTTCCAGTGCCCGAGTGTTGTTTATGAAACGAGTGGGCAGCAAGAAGAGACTAACAGACCTGACAAACACAGATGCCTTCCACGGGCATTCACAAATAACTCCACGCTCGAGCAATGAAACCTATCCCAAACTCAGTACTCACAATCTCAGCTTTACTCAGAAACCATTTGAGGTAGTCTTCCTGGATGTCCACGAGGCTGGTGATGTCTGGGATGTAAAAGCGGTTGTACTCCACGTGTTGTGCCTTCAAGTTTACCTGGTAACATGGAACAAAAACCTGGCTGAGTACAGTACACAGCAGACTACAGATTACCAAGAACCACCTGACCGTGACACAAACACTTCCTTCTTGGATTGTATTGCCGAACAAGCACAGCTGAGAACAGCGAGTGTCGTTTGTGTATACCTTGTGAAGCTTTTCCAGCAGCCGAAGAGTAGCAAGAAAATAGTTCTCATAGAACATGGGCACGAGCACAGTCTTGCCTCCAGTTAGCATAAAGACAACAATGCTCTTGTACATGTCGACCATTCGGGTGAACACGCTGCCGTCCACGAAACACCACCAGTTGTCTGCAGAGACACAAAAAGGAGAGGAAAATAAATTACCTCAACCAAATACACCATGATATTTTATGGTGGACTCAAGTAGCACTGAAGTTGTCAGTTTCTTCTATGATGTACTGGAATTTCAGGAATTACACAATAACAATGCTTCTGTTTTAGCACTTAAATCATTTAAAGCCACTTCATTAGATACACCTGTTCAACCACTTGTTAACACAAATATCTTATAAGCCAACCACAGGGCAGTAACTAAATGCATTTAGGGATGTACGCAAGTTCCAACTGAGCACTGAATGGGGAAGAAAGATGATTTAAGTGACTCTGGACGTGGCGTGGTTGTTGGTGCTAGATAGGCTGGTGTGAGTGTTTCAAAAACTGCTGATATAATTTGAATTTCCCATATAACCATCTTCAGGGTTTACACAAAATAGCCTGAGAAGGAGAAACCATCAACTGAGCAGCAGTTCACTGGGTGAAAATGTTTTGCTGCCAAAGACCAAAGAGCAGAATGGCAAGACTGCTTCGAGCTGACAATAAGGGCACAGGAACTCAAATAACCACTCGTTACAACCAAGTTATGCAAAAAAGCATCCGTGAACTCACAATATGTCAGACCTGGAAGAAAATGGGCTACAACAGCAGAAGAACACACCAGTTGCTACTCATGAGAGTTAAGAACAGGAAATTGCGACCACAGTTCACACAGGCTCCGACAGAAGACTGTAAACACGTTGCCTGGCCTGATGAGTCTCCATTTCTGCTGTGACATTCAGATAGCAGGGTTCAAATTTGGCATGAACAACATGAAATCGTGGCTCCATCCTGCCTTGTATTGACAGTTCAGGCTGGTGGTGTGGGGCACATTTTCTTGGCACACTGTGGGACAGTTAGCACCATTTGAGCATAGTTTAAAGCCCACAGCATACCTGAATACTGTTGCTGATAATGTCCATCCCTTTATGACACAATGTACTGTCCCTTATGAGGAAGCAGCAGGATAACGCCACCACGTCACAAATGTCAAATCATCTCATCATTTTTGATCATAGCAGTGAGTTCGCTGCACTCAAATGAACTCCACAGTCCAAATCTCAGAGCACATTTACGATGTGATGGAATGAGAGATTTGCATCATGGACAAATCTGCAGAAACTGTGTGACATTACCGTGTCAATGAGGACCAAAATCTGAGGAATGTTTCCAGCACCTTGTTAAATCGATGCCATGAAGAATTAAAGCAGTTCTGATAGCAAAAAGGGGTCTAAGGTGTAACTAATAAAATGGCCAGTGAATGTATGTTTGTGTGGCATAGACCAGACATGCATGAACAGTTTTACGCAGCAGTTGGTCACATGTGCAGAGGTGAACAAACCTTTCTCCAGAGCGCTTTTGTCACTTGTCTGTATTATTGCAGCAGCACTATGAATATCTTTGAAAGTGTTAAGAGCATTTTATGAAATATCATCCAAATATTTAAAATAAATGCACGAAAGTCATTTTCAGGACCCACCAAGAAAAAAACCAAACATTATTATTAAACTGATTCATGTGACCACAGACTGAAGACTAAACTAGAAGACCAGCTAGTAACTGACCTTTACCTCTGTTAAAACCCCTAGTTTTCCTCAAATATCAATAGTGAGTTCAAAAATCCATATGAGCCAGGCTCTAATGTTTGTTAAATATTGTTGTCTTGGTGGTGTTTTTTATCTCTTGCTGACGAAGCACACGTAGCACAGATATGGACGAGGATACCGATATATTCTAAACATCAGCGTAAGCTTAACATGGTGGGACATAGCACAGAGTTGCTGAGCTTCACAGTTCTTAGTTATCTCCCAAAGTCAAATCTGAATGACAACCTGGATTCAGTGTGGGCGTGCAAATGTAATACCCAATACTTTGCTGGGGTTGGCATCTAGCCGCAGAATAGCCATTGCTAGGGGTATAGTGAGGCGGATGTAGTTTTTGGAGTCCTGCAGGGCCGGGTACTCTGACAAGATGAGGTAGATCCTCATGGCCTCGACATCAGGAGGGGAGCGTGGCAGCTGAGGGATCAGCAGGCTCTCAAAACTCTTGGTGGCCTAAACAGGAGAGAGAGGACGCAGACATTACACCCTCTGTTTAGTTACACTGCTCAGAGAAAGAAGATTCATGTTAGAGACAAAATGCAGTCAGAGAATTATTAGGGTTTTACTGTTTTGTTTTGTTTTGTTTTTAAAAAAAAAAAAGCTGAATGTGATGGGATATTTTTCTATTTCCAAACAAGCTGGATGAACAAGGCAGCAGCGATAAAACGTCAGTTGCTAAATTTTGCGAGAGGTTATTTAGTGGTTGGGGAAAGAGGCCTCAGCCTGCATCAATCAGACTGAGGCCACTTCAGTCCCAAACATAACATTAGTGCGCCAATGTTAGGAATCGTCAACCAGTTCTGCATTTTGTACCATGGATCTGTGGCAGAACTTGATGTACTTTCAAAACATGGATTTTTTTTATTTTTTATTTATTCCACCAAATGAATGGTTACAAAGCAAACCCTGCATGTATTAAACCTGCATCATTAAGGAGCCAAAACACAAAGCGTTTCAGACAAAAATCACTTTCTATCACATTCATTGATACCAATTTCTATGAAAATCACTATGGATTTAGACGTTGGTGACCTACATACAAACAATGAGGTTTTAATTTGGAGTGAGCAGCTGATTTTCAGCAGCAACATCTACAGCCAGAGGCACAGGGGTTCATTAGGATTCATGCAGAACTCCTTCAATTCCTGAGATTAACTGTTTGCCACTAAATCTTTCATTGCTTATGAATCCACTTTATGTGTAATAGCTTAAAAAGTAATTGATTAGGTGATTAAAGTAAACCAAAACGTGTACACTATTGTCTTTATTCATGCTTCTTGTCAGATAAAGAAAGTCAGACAACAACAGGAGCCATTATCAAACGCATGCACCACGTGTCCTTAGAGACATACAGTAAACTGGGTTTGGAGGTTAGAAGCAGTACCTGCTCCATGAGTTCAGAGAAAGCTGGTTTGCTCAGAGTCTCAAACAGCATTCTGACAGAGTTGAGATCGATGCCTGGGATCTTTGGGTTGGTTTTGAAATGGGTATCATCACTGAGAGAAAGCAGATAAAGAAAGATATAAGTGAGATCTCAGCAAAGGATAAAAACCAGAGCTCATATTCAGGGTGATAAAGCTTTGATGGAAAGTTGCTTTGGATTAAACAAAGGTCTACTCCAAGCTGTCATCCAGCAGGTCAGCTGTGAGTCACCTTTAGGTAGGTGTGATAATACTCACTGCAATATAAGCAATGGTTAAGTATACATGCAGCCTAAATGTATTTAAGTCTATCCCTAAGCAGATCTCTTCTTCTGCCTGGGAGATGATTAGAGTGAGAACCAGTTGATAAACACACTCACTGCTTCGCCTTAAACAACCCTCAACATATCACTGACACTGAGCATTAAAGATCTATCTATCTGTAAATGCCATCTTCCTTCCCTATAGGCACAACAAGACAAATACTGACTGACACAGTGGACTGATCCCTAACGGCAACTATTTACAGCACTCAGTCAGATCAGACGTGATCCTGTGGAGACTGTTTGTCAAAGAGCAAACACTGCTGCAGATGGTGCAGCGGTTTGTGCTACAAAACTACTGAGTCACAGCAATGACCCATTAAATTCAGAGAACTCTCTGAGCTTAAAGCACCATCTGAGCAGTTTTGGGTCCCAACTGTGATGCTAATACTTCCTGTGCATGGATGTGCTCTGAACAACTGCAGCAAATCCCACAGCTGTACCTAATAAAAGGAGATACAAATACAGTTTTTATGGCTACATTTTTGGGAAGGTTGTCATGTTATTAACTAAGGCAGCAACTAACATTTATTCCCATTTAGTCAGTCAATTAGTACAAGTCTGTCCTCCTGTATTTCATATGCACTACTGACTTACTTTATGATGGATGTTACAATTTGCTTTACCTCCTGGGGCATTTCAGTTTTTGAAAGATTCATTTTTCACGCATGTGTCGGTGAGACCTCTTTTCCCAACCCGGTGACCTCCACAGCTCATTCCCAGGACGCGATAAGTATCTGCTGATTAGTTTGTCCTACATACGTCATGATGTCAACACACAGGTTGATGGACTCACACAGATCTCGCTAACCAAACAGATAGCATCTTTCCCAGGCCTGACAATCAGCTGGATAAGATGATATGCCTTGATGATTTGAGGGTATTTGACAGAGAAAGTACATCTTTGTGAGTTGATCACACAGCATGCGTTTCCTTACTTAACTTTATTCATGGCACACACCTGAAGGGCTTAAGAAGTTACTCTGTGATGAATCTACACTAATAAAACGCTAACAGATCCTTCTTGTTTCCTTTTTTTTTTAAAACCTTTGTTGGGGACTGTGGTGCCCTTTTTTTGTCCTAAAATACTGGGAGAGTTTCTGTGGCAACATTCAGTGGAAAAACTGCAGTTTTGATGTCGAGCGCGACTGCAGTTTGTGCCATCTGTCACCTGCCTGAACCAAGGCCAAAGATCCTGAGCATGTGCTATTTTTGGCTCAGCACAGTAGCGATACAGACGTGGCACACGTGCAGCACATAATTGTACTAACTATTTTAAATATGTCGTGCCTGTCTAGCATAAATCAGAGTCACATTTTCAACCTGCAGAAATGAAACACTTCTTCTAATAATAACAACACAGACAGTGACGGAGAACGAAGAATAAAATATCTGGTCATAACTTGCCAGATGGTATGCATGCATCCAAGGTTTGTTTGGCAAATACTGACTAAATCCTGCACTATTAAGGTGGGAACTTAAACATTTTTATCACCTCTTAATTAATTATTTCAGCTCTTCTTTACACTTCGCATTTTGGTGCTATATCTTATTAACTGTTAAATGTTTGTTTCTTTTTTCCTCCTCAAGGTCACCACTGTCTTCTTTTTCTTAAAGGTGAAAATAAAATTACTAGTCTGACTTAAGTAAAAGTAGCAAAATCTAATTTATATGAAGTACTTTTTCTAAAGAAAAAATATCTTGTCTATGTAGATTCACTAATACTCTTAGCACTGTAAGCTTTTAGAAAAGCTCTTAGAAAAATGTAAGCTCAGTGGTGTTTTGTCTTCCACTGAAGGTTTTTGCATTAATACATGCAACCGTGCTCCAATATAAAACAAGTCCTGACTGCACTATTTGAGTATTTCTCATATTGATGCAGGTGAGGTCTATGCACCTTTGGTCCAAGAAGCTGGCATTCCAGCACGCCGTCGAGGACAGCTGAACTATGACGTCACTGTAAACGAAACACACATTACAATGAAAATGTAACAAGGGGAGACTTTCCAATGATTAAAGTGAATTAAGCTCTGTGTGTATTTGTGTAAACCAATTATATATGAGTCTACATTCTATCTTATAATCTAAAATATCTGACACAATACCCTTTTATCGTTGGCTTACTTTGTGACGCTAGAGTCTGTGTTGTACATCAGTTTCAGCCTCAACGAATTCAAACTTTCATAACTGATTGGTGAGAGACTTTTGCCAATATTAATCACTCTGAAGTCTTCCGAGGGGACAGAGGTCTGTAGAGGGGAAGACAGAGAACACATAACACCACTGTTACAAACACGGAAGACTGTTTGCTTTGGTCCTTTGCAGTGTGTGTGGCAAAGTTTGATCTGGGTTGCGTCGACAAAATAAAGAGGCCACGCCTGAGATCGAAATGTTTTGGCTAAGCGCTTTACATCTTTATCAGAACTACGTTCCTGACAGTTTGCTTGAAAATTACTTTTTTTTTTTTTACCAGATAAAGGCTCCAAATACAGAGTTCCATCAACTGAACTGGTTAAAGCTGAGACATTAACGCCACCCTGTGGTGAAACACTAAACCTAAGTAACACAGACATGATTGCTTGGAGTTTTTGGATGTGATTGCTTAGAATTATACAGCGTGCTGCAGGAAACTAAGAAGCATATGTGTGTCACATACGGTTAATCATTTTTTAATTCCTGATGGTTTTTAGAGTACGTCTTTGATTTTCAGTTTCACATTTCTCTATATTTTTAACATGAAAATAAATAACAAAGCATTTATTCATGAAAATTCAAACAAACAATAACAATGGTAAAACTGGAAGTAAGTATATATTTTTAATAAAAAATGTGATATTTTAGTATTAATCTTTATGAAATCACATACCTGCTCATTAGAATACAATAAGAAACTATGGTCTCCTCCACAGATGATTTTGGTCACGGTATACTGTTTTGATTCTAATTAAGAAACATAAAAAAAGAGATAGACACTGTACATAATAACAGGGAATAAAATATATATATTTCACACTGTAAAGCACTTTAAACTGCATGTGTCTGTAATGATTCCTCACCTTGAGAAAAAAGATGATACACAGTAATGAAGGATAAAGAATAATACACTGTGGAAGCATAAAGCAATCATAAAGCAGTTGGCTCAAAAGCTCTTCTTTGTGCTATTTCAATTTGATATACATGGCAGAATAAACTGTGTTCTGCAGTCTCCTTACAATATATATATATATTTTTTTTAATCTCTGCTGTGACTCACACCCCCTAGTCTACATTACAAGCAGATTGCAGGATGATTTCTGGTAAATCCAACAGAAGACACTGCTGTCCATTACAAGCTGTTTTGGCTGAATACCAACTATCCTCTTGGTTGTTTTGGCAACAGCAACTGGAGCCAAATCAGAAATACCTCCGCAAGACAGTGAAGCAGCAGAGTCTAGCTGGACACTAACAAAGCCCACTGTATCGTTATCAGTCTGTTCTTTCTGTTTTAAGACTTTGTAAATTCTCTCAAAGTTCTCCATTGTCTTCAAGAAAAAAATCGGAAAAACAAGGTTCCCAGGACCATAATGGTTAGGCCAAATAAAACTGTAACATTCACAGCTGCCTGCCTGGATTTCCACTGCAGTTACCAGTAAAGGCACAAACAGGAAACATGTCTAACAAACGTGAGAAGTGGGAATGAGGCACTTTTAAAAAGGCGTTCGGTCACAAGCATATAGGGACTGATCGGCAAGTCCTCTGCTTACCTCTTCTATGGAATTTTCCAGTCAGGAAACTGGCCTTGACAGGAAATGGGCTTCTGGCATCCCCCAGTATTCCTGTTCCCAGCTGGCCATGGCTGTTACAACCAAACGCATATACCACGCCAGAGGAAGGCACGAACGCCAACGTGTGGTGCCTGGCAAAAGGAAAAACCACGAAATGAAGAAACTCAAAAAAGTAAATTCACCACTTTGATAGTTACACATTTACAGCATTAGATATGCAGTTAACATTATCAAAGGTACCTTACAGCTCTCTGATTTAACATGTTCAGTTTAGATCGGTTGTTTTTGCAGCAGATATTTTTTAATTATTACTAATGTTTATATTTTTTTTAATTTGGATTCTCAAAGAGAAGTTTTGTTCTAACGGTCAAGAGGACAAAAGAAATAACTGAGCAAAAAAAGATGCAACAAATGTCTGTGGCTGGAAGCAAAACAATCAAAGCTATTAACATTTAAGGTACAAGGTAACTTTCTATAAGTCTTTTCAGTATTCCTTTCCCATCAGGTGTGGAGAAAATCCTAAAACAAAATAAACAAAAAACACACACCATACAAGAGAGTTAAAACTGCGGCTTTCTGAGAGTCAAAAAAAAGTTTAAGCTTCATAATCACAGACTTTACTCCAGTGTTGTTTTACTTGGTTGCATGAGATTGCATGGGTATAACCAACGAAAGTCCTCTGTAGGTTTATCAGAGACAGTACCTGCCACAGGCGATTTGGGACACCTCGGTGCCCATGAGCTCCAGCACTCGTCTAGGTAAAAGCTCACTATTGGTGGAGCCGTGACCCAGCTGACCCCACGAGCCATCACCAAACGTAAACAAGCCGCCATCCTGCCGGGAAGAGTAAACACACTGACTTTTTCTGTGCTTTTTTCCATTTAAGAGGGAAACTTTATGCATAGTCTTGCACTAAAACACTTATGGCACACGTTAGGTGGTAGATTAAGATAAGATAGGGTTAGACCGTGTGGCTGGAATAAGACTCAGTTTTTAACTCTGTATTAACAGAGTGTTGTGTAAAATAATATAAATCTCTTGCATCAGCTAAACAAGAATGACCTAACAAAACAAGACTTTATAATATCTGGTTGCATAATATCTGTTACTAGAAATGGCCAAAATTTAACATGCATATGTAAAGCATGTACAACACAGTTAAACATAAATCATACCTTTGTCAAGGCTGCTGTATGTTCATCTCCACAGCTGATGTAAACAACTTTCTGAGATCTCAAAAATTTGATGTGGCATGGGACGGCACGATCTGTGGAAGGCGACAACACACGAGCGAGCCCACACTGTTAAACACTTCAACCAGATGAGTCCACTCAAATTAAGAAGATGGTGGAAAACACTTAAAGTTTTGCATTCTGATTTAGCACCACAATGGCAACTAAACTAAACGTGGATATGTTAATTAATTAAATTATTAAATTATTTAATATTGAGGATCATTTCCATGAAATGTTAATAAATAGATCTCTTCTCCAAAATGGTGACCTCTAACTACTCATAAAACAAAAAATGAGCGTGAGAGTGATCAAGTACGTTGCCATTGTTCCACAGACAATGGCAACAATACCGTTTTGCGGTAGATTTGCTGCTGTTGTCCTGTGGCCTGACCCAGTATTGGCCAAACTTTAAATGTCAGGTAGACATCTAAAGTTTGACTCTACAACACTTTGGTATCCAGAGGAGTTCATGGTCAACTCCATAACTCCAAGGTGCCCAAATCACCACCCCTCCACCACCGTGCTGACATATGGTATGAGGTGTTTATGCTGACATGCTGTGTTTAATTTTTCCACATGGTGCTGTGCATTATGGCCAAACATCTGCACGTTGGCATAATGATAAATGGTAAATGAACTAGTTCTTATATAGTGCTTTTCTACTCTAGCTGACCACTAAAGCACTTTATACAACATGCCTCATTCACACATTCACATCCATTCTATGCTTAAGTGCTTTCTATGTGACATTCACAGACACTCACAATAGAAATAGAAGCTTCCTATTAGTAGATGACCTGCTCTACCTCCTAAACTACAGCCACCCCAACGGCCTCATCTGTCCAAAGGACTTTATTCAAGAAGTCTTGCAATTTTCTCAGATGCAACTTTTCAAACCTAAGCTGTGCTGTCATGTTATTTTTAGAGAGAACAGGCTTCCTCCTGGTAACCCTTCCAAATAAGCCACACTTGTTCAGACCTTTTCTATTTGTACCATCATGAACTTTACAATTACCTGCTAACAGAGGCCTCTAGAGTCTGAGATGTAGCTGCTGGGTTTTTTTGCAGTTTCTCTATGTATTGCTCAGTCTGCTCTTGGGTGAATTTGCTGAGACGTCCTTTTCCAGGGAAGATTGTGGCATTGTGTTAACACGTGAATGCTTCAGATCAGAAACCGCCAAAACGTCTGCTTTGATAGCGGTACTCACACTTGACAGTCATTATTAATTATTAATAGTACCTAGCTGTTACTTAACCTCTAAAATATTATCAAAAGAGTACAGGTGTACTTAGTTTTTCACAACACCATGTGGAGTGCTGTGAAAACCTTTTCTTTTTTTTTTCAAACGCGAATAAATTGCTAAAAATGTGAGACACAATATTACGTAAAGATTTATATAATTTGTATGAAGCTCTACACTCTGCATTATATCATATAACAGTCGCCGTTCTTTCTAACCAGGTGATTATTACCTTGTTTATCATTAAGGCCCAGTTGTCCATCTCTGTTTTTGCCCCAGCCAAATACAGCTCCAGACAATGAGAGGGCAAAACTGTGGTCTCCTCCTGCCGTTATTTGTGCCAAAGGAATTCCTGCCAGAGACTTTAGAGGATGAGGGAACAGCTTGCTGGGCTCTCCTTTCCCCAACCCGAGCTGCCCGCTGGTGTTCTGGCCCCATGTGAACAGCTGGCCATCTGAGAGGAAAAACGCACATCATGAACTTTACCTTACATCAACACCAATAATGAACACAAAATACAGGGCAGATGTCTGTTTTATAGAGTGGCTATATTTAGAGCTGTTACAGGGTGTGGCTCAGACCTACATATTGCCAAAACATCAACAACACCAAATGCTTTCATTTATAGCCAAACTTAAATCAAGTCAAAGCTTACACCAAACATAAATAAATAAACAACTTTTCAGGCTGACAGATAAATCACAGACCCCATTATCCTGTTAGTATTAATACATAAAGCTATGTGTGTTTAGCCCCAAGAAGCTGTGGTTCAACATCTGATCACATTTCTTTGGACAAAAAACAGTCAATTTAAAATCTCCCATAATGCAAAACCATTGCATTTTCTCAAACTATGCTCTCCTCCCTTTGCAATCACATATTTTAATGAAAATATTATGTCTTGAGTCCTAGTCATGCTAACCTTGATGCTGATGGTTGACACTTTGTTGCTACATTGATAAACACACACTTGTTCTCCATCATTACTGCCTGGTGATTGCTCGTAAAACAGCCTTGACCATGTGCAAGTTTCACTCAGATCTGACCAATACTGTTAAAGGATTAACGCTTCTGGTGAACTGTGGACGAGCGGATAGATGAGCTAAAATTTGCATGAAGTGAATTTAAGAATTTATGAGGGTTTTCTGATGCCATACATTTCAGTTCAATTGGACACAGTTGGGATCCAACATTCAGATCGTGAACAGTGATGAGGTGTTATAAAGAAATTGTCTTTCACACCTCTAGAAAGTGCGATGCAGTGCTGATTCCCACACATTACTTGAGAGATGCGATGGTCACACAGTCTTTTGACCAACCTAGGATAAATTTAAAAAGAAACAAAAACATTTGTTTATCAAGCCAAAAATACACATTACAAACATTTCTTGTTTAAGTAGATGATGCATGAAAAGGCTGGGAATTCCAAATAATGTCAAACCTGATGTCTATTGTCTTAGCTGATTATAGGCCAATCACAACCTTCCTAACCTGCCTTTTTCAAAAAGTCTTGAAAGAGTAGTTGTAAAACAGCTAACTAATCATCTGCAGAGAAATTGTTTATTTTAAAAGTTTCAGTCAGGTTTTAGAATGCATCAGATTACAGAGACAGCTTTAGTGTAGGTTACAGATGGTTTTCTTATGGCCACTGATGGTAGATTCCTGTCTGTGCTTCTTCTAAACCTCAGTGCAATGAGGTTCGATGACCATAATTTAATTACAGCGATTAGAGCATGCTGTAGCTATTCAAGGTGGTTCAAATCATATCTATCTAATAGACTTTTTACTTGCTATTTAACTTTTATTTATACAGGTAGCCCCATTGAGACTCAGCATCTCATTTACAAGAGAGATCTAATTCAGACAAACTTCGTAAAATTATAACACTTCAATTTGTTCATGTTAATTGGGAGTCCTCTTTACACACAAAGGTGAATTATGGAGTTCTGCAGGGTTCCACACTAGAACCAGTTCTGTTTATATTATACATGCTTCCCTTAGGCCAGGGGTGTTCAAATCCAGTCCTCAAGAGCTACTGTCGCTCTCCTTCTTCCGACACACCTGAACCAAATGAATGACTTGTTACCAGGCCTTTGCCAAACTTGATGGCATGCTGAAGGGGTAATCCAATCATTTGATTCAGCTGTGTTGGAGTAGGGATGGATCTAAAAGCCGCAGCTCTTGAGGACTGGAGTTGGACACCCCTGCCTTAGGCGGTATCATTAGAAGGCAAAACATGTATTTTCACTCCTATGTAGATGATGCCCAACTTTATCTATCCATGAAGCCAGAAAACACACACAACTTAGTGAAACTGCAGGAATCTCTGAAAGACAAAGACCTGGATGACCTATAATTCCTAAATTCCGCTACAAACTGAGGTTAGCATACGTGGCCCTAAAAAAAAAAATCTTAGAAATATGTTACTATGTGCTTACTCTAAATGGGATTACCTTGGCCTCCAGTAACACTGTGAGGAACCTTGGAGTCATTTTGACCAGGATATGTTTTTCAATGCACACACTAAGCAAATATATATAACTGCTTTCTTCCTTTCGTGCAATCTCTTTTTCAGTATCACTGAAAACTAGTATTTATTACTTCTACGATGCAGTATGGTAATTACTGATGTCCTAAAAACTCACTGAAAAGCTTTCAGCTTATCCAAAATGCTGCAGCACGAGTACTGACAGGGACTAGAGAGAGCATATTTCACCCATACTGGCTTCTCTTCACTGGCTCCCTTTTAAATCCATAATAATCGGGTCCCATTTTATGTTTAAGACCTCATAGTACCGCATCACCACAATAGAGCACTTTGCTCTCAGACTGCAGGCTTACTTTTAATTCCTAGAGTAGTTAAAAGTAGAATGGGAGGAAGAGCCTTCAGCTTTCAGGCCCCTCTTTTGTGGAACCAGCTTCTAGTTTGGATTTTGGAGACAGACACCCAATTTCCTTTTCAGATTAGGCTTAAAACTTTGCTTTTTAATCAAACTTATAGTTAGGGCTTGATCCAGTGACCCTGAATCCTCCCTTAGTTATGCTGCAATAGCCTAGTCGGCTGGAGGCTTCCATGATGTACTGAGTGTTTTTTTTTCCCTTACCATGTGTTTTTACACTAATCTTCATTAAATCATTAGTTATTAATAATTTCTTGCGCTCTTCCACAATGTGTCTTTCTCATGTCTTCCTTCCCTTACCCCCAACTGGTCGAGCCAGATGGCCGCCCCTCCCTGAACCTGCTTCTGCTTGAGGTTTCTTCCTGTTAAAAGGGAGTTTTTCCTTCCCACTGTCACAAAAGCGCTTGCTCATAGGGGGTCATCTGATTATTGGGATTTTCACTGTATTATTGTAGGGTCTTTCTCTTACAATACAAAATGTCTTGAGGCATCTATTGTTGTGACTGGGTGCTATATAAATAAAACTAAGTTGAACTGAATTATGAAAGGCTGCTGCATACAAAATACTGACTATTAAACTATCTCGCTGAGTATATGTTTACATGGGGCTTCTTCTCCTCCACCATAACACTGAGGTCAGTCTGAGTAACCGATAGATTAACAATGAAGATGTCAATGTAGTTTTTCTTTCTTTTTAATAATGATTTTGTGAGCATATAGATATAAATATATTTCTGATATATCTATTTAGTCTTAGTCTCTTTTGTCTGCTTTCTTCCCCTCATTAACTTTCAGTAAATTGTCTATTAAAAATAAAATTGTTTGTCAGGGCACTAATTGCTTATTCTAGAAAATGTTTTGCAAACCACTTATTACAGTAAAATCCCATTTTCCCAGTATTTGCATGTGAAAGACTTACAGGAAGTCTATGACTAACAGTTTTCAAATAGGCTCTGATAAACCTGTCTACGTCTGCACGCTCTATGGACACACTTAGCTGTGGCAGTGGCCAGATGTACGCTGTACAAGTAGGTGCTAGGCTGCTGGTAAGTACAGTAAGTTTTCCGACTGGCATGTGTAATTCTGTGTGGCCAGGCTAAACCCTTCTTCCTATAAACTACACGGGCACCTGGGAATTCGAACAGTCGTCTCTGTGGTCCCCAGTCCCAGCTGTCCCCCATCACCAGCTCCCCAGGCAAACAGTTGACCCTGTTCATTCACTGCCATCGAATGGCCCCGACCGCATGACACCATCGCAATCTTTTGGGTATCCAGAGCCCCAACAACCTCTGTGAAGAGATGACAGGTCTACAGTAGAGGTCTTTTCATTACTTTTACTCTTTACCCATTTGTTTTTCAGTTATAAGTCTAAATATTTTAACCTACATGCTATTTATTATATAAGTATTTATTGTACACAATAATACAACAGATCCAAGAAACATAATATACACATTTCTTTTGAAAATAGTATATTATTAACTGCACTGAGAAATACTGTGTTGAAGCGCGTGCAAAAAGGATGTGTGGGCGAGACTTTGCAGTTGGTGTGGGTGGTATTCTGCCAAGGACCAATTAAGGGTTAGCTGCTTTAGACAAATTGAAAACACAAAATAGTTGATAATGTGGTTTCCAGTGAGGTAAGACTAAAGCATTTAATCAACAGTCAACATTTTTTAAGCTTGTTAAAAAGATTCAATAACATAAACATAAAATGATAAAGGCCTTATAACAAAAATATAATTATGCCAAGTTGTGAGATAACATGTTGATGGACATACTTCAAATAAATCTGTGTATGTTTTTTAAGGTCCAGCAATTCTTGTATTTGTTCAGGGCTGTTACAAGTTCACCCACATGCCACAAAACAAAGAACATGTAGAACACATTTCCACCCACATAATACCAACACAGACCCATCATGTCTGCAGTCACTAGCATTTTAGGAAAAATGCCCAAAATGCGGGAGCAGGAATCCTTTCTGTTTCGTGTCAAACTCACCTAATGATGCCCAATTCCAGCATACAGTCATGCTGCTGTTACATGAGTGTCTGTGCTTTTCAAATCCTCAGTCATCCTGCTTCCACATCAGATAAAAACACAACAGCCACTGAAGCTGCTAAGACTTGCAAAAGACATTTCACTGCATGCTCAGTCTTTGTAACAAAGCATCAGGGTATTTTTCTTCTCCCATATAAAATATTATTGGTGTCCACTAAAGAGCTTTTGGCTTACACCAAAGGAAAATAACCAGGTCTATGATTTCTTTAAGTTTTTTGAAAGTGGAGTTTAATTTATTCCAGTTTAAAATGAATTATTATTTATCAAATGGCTGAGAAAAAAAAAACTTTATATAAAATTTTCTATTATTTGAGGCAAAACATAAAATAGACTCTTTAACTCAAACAACTATGTGCAGACCAATCTTGCTTGTGTGCCTAATCGCTCATCATAGATAAGTTTTAACCTTGGTTATGTGCAACTAAGTCAGCCAAACATCACTAACAGCCCAGAATTTCACCATCAGCCCATGCCCATTTGTATAACTACTTTAATTGATTAGCACTTTTATTTAAACGTAAAAGATGCAAAATAACAAGCTAGGTTTTTAATACATAACTCCACTATAGTTGAAGAACAGAATACAATTTGACTTTTTTATTAGACCATCAATTCACCCCCTGCTTGTGCAGCCAAACACAGACAAAGACAAATCATGCCAAATCGGGCCAAATTCAGGCACATGCTCAAACATACTTGCTATGTTGTTCACCAGGGTGGTCCAATCTGGTGTTTCCAATTTAGAGCTTACCTGGGGAAGTCCCTGCTTTGTCATGACCCAGCTGTCCCCAGCTGTTAGAGCCACATGTGTACACACTGCCATCATACATAAGAAACACAGAGTGTTGTCCTCCACAGGCGACCTCTTTCAATCCCCTGCCACTGAACACATGACAGTTCCTCGGCTCAAACACAGGGTTCTTCTCCACACCAATACCCAACTGCCCATCCTTGGCATTCCCCCAGCACAGCATGTTGGTGAAGGGAGAGGAAATGAGCACCGATGTGAAGAGGCAAAGAGAGTGACAGCCAGATGGAGGAAGACTATAATGATCAAGCTCGAGAGCAGGCCCGCTTTCGCCTCTTCATGTAAATTCCAACCCTAGAAGCAAAAGAAACAGCGTGATTATGCATATTTCTTCATAAGGAGCTGATTACTTTGCTCCATATGTGAACTCTTGACAGTTTTTCAATTAGGGAACAAGGACGGGCTCGGAGGTTGCTGTGGGTGTGTGTGACAGTGATGTAAGCATGATGACAGAGGAACAGGCAGTGTATTTAAATAAACCCTGTCAGTGTAATCCTGGCTTAAGCAGCTCCAAGCAGTCCCGCCTTAATGTCCAGCCTCTTCTAGCACAATAATGTTACCAACTGAGTAAGCCAGAAAATACACAAAAGAGAAACGGGCCAATAGAGAGTATGGTTTACCTCACAATGTCCCAAAAACGTGACTTTTAAATATTATACATTTTCACTGTTTAAGGTGTAAATCGTAACTGGGATAAACGCCATATAAATGTTTTTATTAATACTATGAGTTATATCATTACAAGTATAACCTATATTACAACCCTGCAAAAACTAAACTGAATCACCTCTGAAAAAGGTGAAAAAACAGCTGTGATGAGGGGATGCGGGCACATGTATTAGAAAGCACTAATTTACCTGGGAGGGTGGAGGAAAATATAGGGAATGGACCAAAAGCCCAGGGTGACCATCCTTATCGCAGTTAGTAAACATTAAATAAATATTAGCTATACATTATAGCTTTGTTTAGCATGCTATAGCACACCAGTCTTGGCTGTGAGTTGCTCCCGTGTATTACCAGTGGGCTATTATTATTATTATCTAAACACTGGTAGCTCGATGTAAGATACGCTTAGCTGTATATTTAGCTGTATTTTAAGTGTCAGCGGCTGCTTTATCGTTTGTGAGGACCAGCACGTTAAGTCAGGTTAGCTTCCTGACCCGTGCTGTGTGTACATTACAAACACATCCTGCAGCAGTGGCTAAATGTCCCCTCTGACATTACCTGAGTAAGTTTGTTAGCGACCCTGACAAACCACACAAGCCGTTATAGTTAATAGCTAACTAACGTTCGCAGGCTAAAACAGCGCTGGCTGTCAGTCTTATAGCTAAAAAAAAACAGAGACCGGCTGGCTAGCCGATGAACACAACCTAAGCACAGCGGCGCTGTTTTACAGCTGGGTGGTGCAAAATTAAAACAGTGTGTTTACCTTGACAGATGCATTCTGAATTTGGGCGACTGGTTTCGGTTCATCAGCCCAGAAAACAAACGAGGAAGTGCCACAGCTGCTTACGTCACTAGACGTTATGGGCAGGAGACAATGTGATTGGTCCGCCGAGCAAGGGGCTCTACCAATGGCTGTGTCCGAATTGGTGAATGCCTACTAGCGTAACAACAAAGTCCGTGAACATTAAATCTATTGGTGTGGCTATTTTATTTTCCCAATATGTAATACTTTTTTACAAGCTTTGTTTAAAATGGCGGAGGCTCTTAATTTTAATATCTGAATCATGTCAGCATCCCGTCAACCTAAGTCTTTTAAGTGTTATGTTTCACGTTTGTGTTAGGTATTGGGAGGCCCTGTGATGTTTTTTAATGTGAGTGAAGTTGCCCCCCCGCTCCACCTTCTTCAAATCCAACAAAAGTGGTATCAAACGTTTGTGCTACGTTTGTGCTGGTTTGTGCTGCAAAAAATTTCGTTTGTGCTGCTATCATTTTAAAGATATTAATAAAAATTTCTAGAGGTCATCAGAGGTCAACCAGCCCCCACACATTAATTAAATCAAACAAAACTGGTGTCAATCAACTGTGCTCCGTTTGTGCTGGTTTGTGCTACTAAAATTGTCGTTTGTGTTGCTTCTGTTTTAAAGATATTAATGAAAATGTAAAGGTCAAAAAGTCAGCAGTCAGCTGAGACTGAAGAAGTCACTTGGATGAGTGACGAAATGTTTCTCCCACTGAAAATGTCCAGATGAACAGAATCAACCTTTTGGGATTTACTTACCTGGATGATTAAGCACGCATCAAGACATTATTTTATTAATATTTTTAAAATGCTAGCAGCACAAACGAAACTTTTTGCAGCACAAACGAAACTTTTTGCAGCACAAACGTTTGATACCACTTTTGTTGGATTTGAAGAAGGTGGGGGGGCCAACTTCACTTTTTGACTTGTTCATACATTTCTTGAAAAAGCATTTCCTCCCTTTCTCATTTTATTTATTCATTTATTTATTTATTCTATATTTTTCACACTTCAGTGTTTCACATGATCAAATACATTTTAATATTAGACTAAGATAACACCAGTAGATACTACATTGGCTGTATCCCAATTCAGGGTCTGCAGCCTTAAAGTACGCAGCCTCAACGGTCCTCAAGGGCCGCGTACTCAAAGACCGCTAAGGCCGGAAGTGTGAGGCTTGTGAAATGGGACGGTCTAGCCTCCGTCGCGCTGCCCAGGTTGCCTAGCAACCATGATAGCTGGAAACGTGTGGTTGACAGAAATGAAGGAGAACATATTTTATTCGTTTGTTTGTTTGTTTCTACATGAGCTTTGTGTGATTTAATAAGTATCAGAGGCTGAGACCACGGGACTGTAAAACATGATTGTTGGGCTTCATTTCTGTACTGAACAGTCATATAAGATTAGCTAGTAAATAACAAATAGTTAATGTTGTTCATGAGACTAAAGTCAGTGTAAATATGAGATGGCCAATATTATAGTTATTATATTAATCATTATAAGTTATTACAGCATTGAGTTTGAACTCTCAAATCAAATCACTTCTATTGTCACATCACATGTGCAGGTACACTGGTACAGCACATGTGAGTGAACTCTGTGTCAAATACTGAGCTTCAGTAAAGATTCAAGTTGTAGTTGTTTATATTTCCCATCACCTTAAATCTTCACTCAAAGACACTCAAGTATCTTTGACAGTGTATATATAGATGTATCATATATAAGAGACAAATGTTGTTCCTCACAGATGATGTGCAGCAGTGGGTCCCTCAGTCTGTCCTCACACTGGACACTTGCAGTTGTCACACATGGAAATCAAATGTGTGATAAGCTGCAGGATTCAAACACAAGTGTAACTTATAAATAAATGTTCATACTTTTATTACACAATCAGAGAGAAAGAAAAAGAGAGAGAATGCAGGACAGATAGACAGGTGACAGTCTCAGGTGTATACACTGCTATAAAACAGCACAAGAGAAGGAGGATTTAGTGTTTGTGTTATTACGAGTGCTAAACAAGAAGAGTTCTCAGATGGTACAGTGGACACATGTGTGACTGCTGTGATTAAAGCATCTTTCTTTCAGCTTAACGAGTGAACCGTCAGCTCGTTCAAACACACGTTAAAGTCCATTTGGCTCAACACCACCGAACAGAGGCAGCAATATAACATAGCTAACATTAACAGTGCAGTGAATCCTGCTTGTGCCGTGATATTCAGGACTGCAAACCGAGCAGCATTCACTGACTTTCAGCTTGTTGTGTTTGCGGATATATGACTGTCTTTAATTATCCACAAAATCATCACATTCTCTGTAAGATTAAGGTAGACTATTGTATTACTATATTTTAAAGGCTTTAAAAGCAAGTAAAAGCTGAACGTACAAACATCGCTAATGGCAAATAAGTTTGCCGACAACATGTGGCCAACAGTAATGTTTTAATGTTCCTCATTATTAAACATTTGCACATAAATAAGTGACATAATATTCAGTACTTACTTTTCACAGTTTACTCTTCGGCCATCTGGGGCAAAATTATCCACACCGACTGCCGCGCTATGAATTGTGGGATATGTTGGGCCACGAAGTCTACACTGCCACAGCCTTAAAATTCAGGGAAATGAAGGACGCATTTGAGGGCCGCATTTCGAGCAGCCTTTGAATTGGGACAGCACTGTGACGTAATCGGCCTTAAAATGCAGCCTTTAAGGCTGCAGACCCTGAATTGGGATACAGCCTTCTGTAACGGTATAAACAATGAAAGGTGTTGGATTGGCCAGATGCTGGCCAGTGTGTAAAAATAACTCAGTTGTTTGGTGGTGGCATCGCGGAGCTTCCACAGATTCAGTAAAATTAACAAGTGGTGGAGGCCAGCAGGTGGATGAGGGAGATCGTAGGCAGGACGAGGAGAGACAGGTGGCCGCCGTTCCGAGCTTCAGGTGAACTGAACTTCAGGTAAGAAGTTATGACCTGCAGTCTATCTGGGTCAGACTGCAGGTCATAACTTCTTGACCTGCAGCCGGTCAAGAAGACTGCTATATAGGCACGTGGGACCAAACAGACATAGACTAAAAGTGAAAACAATTAATGTATTTTCATTTTAAATAGTATTCAAGCTTGTTTCCACTCATTTTAATTTTCTGTTGTGTTTTATTAATCAACATATAATTATAAGCTAGTTTTTCATTTTGTTAATTACAATTCACACCCCCACAACCTCACCTGTAGTCAGCCTGGAATCCA